TTTCTCTGCAGAGCACTCACACGGCTTATCAGCCCCTTCTACAGCCCCACGCAACCACGGCTTCGTTAAATATAGGATGGTGGGCTGCGCTGCTCTTCGTTTAGAGCTCAGGGGCAGGGGACCATGGGCTGATGCCCCGGCAGCAGCAGAAAGGGCTTCAGTGAACGGCACTAATAAGACCTTGGTGTCGCTTTGCTGAAGCTCAAATTGCTCTGGCTTTTTCAGTGCACAGAGGAGACCCGGCCACAATGAGGACCTAATTTGCCCCAGCTTGGAGGAAAAGTGCCTGGGTGTCTGAAGCTGTAGCTAATCACCACATTTATCAGCAACCAGCTGAAGCTTTAAGAAATGTTTTTGTGACATTAGTAAAGCAGGAGGAGTTCTAGCTCCTGGGCCCCGTTCCTCCCTCCACACTGTGACCATGGACATCCCTCTCATCACCCCAGCTGTAAAACGGGAGGGACAACAGCCATCTGAAGGACAAGGTCTTGCCTCCTGCTTCCACAGGGTTATTTACAAGCGTGGCTGATGCTTAGGAGCAGAGTGGAGCTCCCAGAGAAGCCCAGTCCTGCTTTATAGCAAACCCACTGCCTTCCACAGAGATCTCAGAGCGCTGCAACAGCTTTGCCGGGGGTGTGGGCAGACAAAACAAACTCACAACCACGCACTAAAACTTCCACATCCATCAAAAATTCGGGGCAGCAACTGGGGTCTTGTTTCAAGCTTTCTGAGGTTCTGACTGATGCTGGGGCGGGGGGGCAGGAGTTTGGATGAGTCAGGCAGCAACAGCCCACCCCAGGCACAGAGACCCCAGACAAACCTCCATCCCTCCTTATAGCAACTTACTGCTCTGCTCTACCACGCCACCTCCTTTAAACGCTCCCCCCCCTCCCCTCCAGAAGCGCAACCTGATACAACGCCCCCAAGTGCCAGACAGCTCCTTCATCTCTCCGTGACAAATAAATCTCCGTCATAAATCCGTGTTCTCCGGTGTCACCCCTTATATATAGACAATCAAAGAAGCTAAGGTACTCCAGTAGGAGTGCGAAGACAAGGCAGACGAGTCAAATTACACTTAACCTCTGGTTTAGTGCTTTTATCTATCAGAAATAGTTTGCTACGTGTTTTAACTCTACTCCCTCATTCATGTTAGGGTTTTTTTTTTTCTTTTTAAAGTGTTTCTGTACTACCCTGAACTCTCCCCCACTCCCAGACACAGCACTTCTCACCCCCAGGAATAAAGCTTTCTTATTTCTCCTCGTCACCGAAACAAAGGCAGCCCTGAGGCAGGAGCTCTGTGTTCGCTCGGACAAACTCCCATCACAGACGCCGAGCAGATGGGCATGGCACGGTGGAGGGTTTGAGCCAGGCTGGATCCAACCAAATTCAACAGGAGCTCAGACGGCCTCCGGGGCAAGGGACCGCATCTCCGCGTACTGTGGGATACTGGCTCCATAAAAGCACAAGGAGAGGTCAGCCACTGGGCTGACTGCTCACTGGGCAAGTTCTGCTGCACCCTTCCACACAGAATCACTGAATTATTGGACTTGGAAGGGACCTTCTAGAGATCATCTAGTTCAACTCCTCTGCCAAAGCAGGGCTGCATCCAGGTGGGTCTTGAAAATCTCCAGAGAAGGGGACTCCACAACCTCCCTGGACAGCCTGTTCCAGGGCTCTGTCACCCTCACCCCAAAGAAGTTCTTCCTCATATTTGAGTGGAACTTCCCATGTTCCAGCTTGTGCCCATTGCCCCTCGTCCTGTCACTGGGAACCACTGAAAGGACTCTAGCTCCATCCTCCCTCAAACCGCCCTTTAGATACTTATAAGCATTAATAAGGTCTCCCCTCAGCCTTCTCTTCTCCAGGCTAAAGAGTCCCAGCCTTTCCTCATCAGGGAAATGCTCCAATCCCTTAATCATCTTTGTTGACCTAACAGACAGACCTCCCCACCCCGGGCAGCACCAACAGGAGACCAGCTGCTACTCTCCAGGTGACAGCAATATGCAATTTTGCCATCCCAACAGCATCCCCTGTTTCTAGTAAGGAGGTGGCTACAAGAAGCAATTGCTGAAGGAGAAGGTCCTGGGCTCTGGGCTCCCAAGGAGAAATGCTGCCTGGATAATACCCAGATCTACCCAGGAGCCCATCAGGGTGGCTGGAAACATTCATCCCACCGCAGTACACCTTCAACATGACCGGCTTTAAGAATTGCTTTCCTCTAGCCTAAGGAATGACAGGGTTGGAAAAGGTGCAGAAGACAGCTAAAGCAAGACAAGAAAGGAGCCTGCTGCTCCATCTCACGCTCTGCTGGGACAGGAGTCCAACAGAGGGAGCGGAGATTGCAGAAGAAACCCCTCAGCAAAGGGAGCACCCCATTGAAAGGAGAGGTTAATATTGCACCCCAGCACTGGGAGGATGCTGGGGGCTGATGGCACCTGGGGCCACTCCATGGCTTGGACCACCTCCCCTTGCTGTCAGCAGCAGCATCCTCAGGGGGAAAACCAAGGGCTCTCATTATCAGCTACTGATGTCGGGCTGTGCCCAAACCATCTGAAACCTGCTCCTCAGCAGCCTCCCGTGCAGCACCTACAAAAGCAGCAGTGAAACATGCCACAGATACCTGCTAACGAGACAGCCCTCAGCCACTTGTTATCTCTCTTTGATTACCCCCTTAACTCAGTCAGGAGATAGCAGGCTTTATTTTTGTTCTCCCTACTGAATCAGCATCCCTTGTATCTCCTGTCCTGGTCTCCCAAGCTCCTGCCCATGCTTTTGAACACACCTCCCCACCACCAGTCCTTGGCAGATCTTGTGACCATAAGGTAAGGATGCACTTCCCACACGATCGCTTCATCCTGGAACGCTCCTGGCCTGTATCTGTCAAGCGGGCAGGAAGAACGACCTTTGATTTGCCTTCCCCCAAAGGATGTTAGCACAACATTTGTGAAAGGCAAAGTCATAGGAAGCCTCAGAAAATCAGCTGCCAAGACAAAAAGAGGGACCTGGTTTGGTCCCTGGTGTGACCCAGGAGAATGAAGCGTAAGAGATATTTAGCACAGAAAGTTAAACCACCTCTTGGCTCTGGAAGCTCACCCTTAAACCCAGGATAGCTTGCAAGATCAATGAGTTGAACAGTTCCAGCTTTAACAGAGATTTACAGCAGGGTTTAAACTCTCACACGCTGGTGGCTCACCATGTGGTAGAGCTCCCAGCTTGCAAACAGCATCTGGATTCACCACCCGAAGCGGTGCTGGCTCCCAATGCCCTGCCTGGCTTTGCAGGTTGGGCCCTAGGGACGTGTTCCCTAGACCCGGGCCTTGAGGGCAACGTCTCAGACCCAGCACCCCAAGACCCCCAAAGGGAGACAGGGGAACCCAGTTACGAGGCAATTTCCCAGGACAGGACCTGTTCCAGGGTACCTCGCACCCCAGCACACAACGCCCAGCAGGGAAATCAGGCCCCGTCCTTGCTGGTGCCCGCACGTGCACCAAAGGCTATGGAATGATCTTCCCAGTTTCTCTTCTAACCACATCCCACCTCAGGGAGGCTGGGAGCGTGCCACAGCCAGCAGTAAGAGCAGGGGATCCAGCCTTAATTCTGACCTAGAACTCTGAAACCCTCTCTGGAAGTTTCTGTGGCAGAGCAACACCAATACCTGAGTGCTCAGCCTCCTTTGTGGCTGTGGCTCCCACCCCTTCAGCCTTATTTCCCCTCTTAGAAAGGAGGGCAAATCTCCTTTTTTTCCTGGCTAGGAGCACGTGCTGCTCAGAGAGGGGCTTCCTACCCATAGACAAACACATATTTGCACATATCAGCACCAGAAAAGGAGAAACCTCCACCACACAGGGACACCGGCAGGGCCCCCCAAACGCAAGGACTTACCTGGCTAAGCATGATCCTGATCCAGGGCAGTGGAGGCTGAGCCAGAGAGGAGTCCACAAGCCACATCCATGTGGCAGCCCCTCAGGAGAGCTGTGTCCCCTACTGAGGAACCCCTTCCCCAACACAGCACCACCACCACGGGCTGCAAAGACCAGCTTCTCAGCCATGCTGCTGCTTCCCTGGCAAGAGACAAAGAGGTTTTCTGGTCTCCTCCCAAATGACCTGCACCTGTGGCTCATAGAGAACACCTGGGAGAGGCTGAGCCCAATCAGGAGGAGAGGGGGGACAGGAGGGAGACCATCCCTGCTGAAGGACCTTCTTCCTCCTGGAGCACCAGGGCTCCCAACTGGCCCATGGTGACATCTCTGTCCAGCCACCCTCTCCTTAGCTCCCAGGAGCGGCCACAGGTGCCCAGGTTTGGCCACCTGGGCAACGCCAACTGCCAAGGACGTCCCAGCAATGGGATTGATATTGATGGTAGAAAAGAAAAAATAAAAAAATTAGTAATAAAAAAAATCAATTCCAGTAGAAAAATAATTTAATAAAGGGATAAGTTTCAAGAAAATATCTGTATAGTAACAACATTTTAAGTAAAATGTCCACAAAAATATACATGTCTAATGTGATTATACAGAAGTTTTCCAACAGGTCCTGTTTTCAACTTGGTTCAGTCCATCTAAGAAATGCCTTCCCTGCCACCGGACTCCCCAGCATATACCAGTTTGCACAACAGAAATATGAGAAATGTTTCCTGTCTCATCTTAAGCTCATACAAATAAACTTTAGAGTTGGTAACAGTCCAGAAGAGATCAGGTTATCATCATTAAAAAAAAAAAAAAAAAGGGAAAATACAAACAAAGCAAGCAAAAAGTCAGCCACCTAAGGGACACTGCCGGGCAGAAGTATCAGCCCTACAACACACACCACGCTCAACACTGACACAGCTGGAAAAGGAGGGGGATGAAGGAAAGATGGGCAAGAGAGAGGGGAAAATCCCGAGAGGAGAATTCCCAGGAATCCTGGAACGGCTAAAGGAGCAGAGAGGCCAGGGAAAAGCACACAAGCGACCCACGTATTTCTAGAAACCAGACGATTTTGTAACATAGAAGATAAGCTAATTGGAGGAAGATGAAAAGGAATCAGTGGAGAATGTTTATTTCTTATTTTTCCAGATCATTACTGAGCTGCAGAAATAAGAGGTCTGTCCCAAAAAGCCCTCACCAATGGTGCTAATTCAGCTGAACAGCTCCAAAACCCATGTACTTCCAGGAAAGAAAAATCTGGTTACAGAAACTAAAGGACGTGAGAGTACAGTAAAAAAATAAAGAAAACATGTTCCACCAGCAGAGGACGGGAACGAAACACTGAGAAGATGCCAAACAAGAGATATCAGCTGTCAAAGGGAGATATACACCGAAACAAAAAACCAAAACAAATAACACAACAGAAACCCACCCCACAGAAAGAAAATGGAAAATTGCTAAAGAAATAAAAGGTCACACATTTTCCAAAAAATTTTTTGTTTTATAATCAAATTTTTTTTTACATAGACAACTGAAACACACCAGTATTTTGTGCGAAAAATATTTTTAAATAAACTTTGCTCGTTCTCCATTTTTGTACATTCTGATATACATATGTAACAAGGTTTATGGCACTGTAACCAGGATCAAAATCATATAAAGGAACGAAGTAATTGCTCTCATTTATCCTTTCTGAACCAAGCCGGCTGCCGTTGCACTATTAGACTTTAAAAATTATTATCTTATTATTAGTGGGCAGCCAACTCTAATTGGTTTGAACACTCAAAACAAATCCTAAATTATTATTGCACAAGAAGCCAGTGAAGGCATATGGCATAGAATGATCAAAGTCCCTTACTGTTAAAACCTTACACCCAAAAATAGAAAAATAGAACTGGAACATGAAGCACGCCAAATAAACTTTTTTTTCTTCTTCTTCTTTAGTTTGAGTCAGGAGTGTGAAAAGTGCCTTACAGACTTTTTAAGCTGCTCCAGATTCCTTTGCATCAGTGTGAGCGTTTTGCCAGGTTATCTTTAGCAAAGCCTCTGCAGAACCAAGGCCTTTATGTCTCAGGGAGGTTTTCTTCCTGCTTTGTTTTGGCTGTTTGTGTTTCGTCTTCAACTTAGGTTTCTTCAGTCTATGAACCTGCACAGACTACTTAGCCATAAACTCTACAAGTAGCTGGAGAGGAGGGGAAAAATAACAAGAAAAAAAAAAGCCCAATATTTCTTCTTCTTCTTGTTTTGATTTTTAAAAGTACTGCTTTTTCTCTGAAGCCTCCCTGTTCTGCCAGCATCTGGGAAGGAAATCACCACAGCATCCCAAACACGGCAAAGTTCTTGGATCTCTTTTAAAAAACCTTTCCTTACAGAAAAAAAAAAAACAAAAAGAAGGTTTTTATTCACAAAAGGTTTGCCACAACCTCCCCCCTGCCCCCTTGAAAGCTAAAAAGAAACACCCACAGCCCACCCGTCACTGCCCCGTATCAGCTGAAGAACAGGTTACTCCTCGCAGCTTCGCCGTCACACGACAGTCTCTACGCCGATGAGCTTTGGTGTGAGGATTCGCGGTGTAACACCGTTGTTTAGGTCTTCTTCGAACTCCAGTAACTGCCCCATAAAGTTAAGGTTGGGGGAAATGATTGGTCGTTTGCCTTTTACAAATTTGTAGGCATCCGTCATGGTCATGCGCGTGTGCTTCATTAAGTAGGCGATAACTATGGTGGCAGACCGGGAGACACCAGCCTGGCAGTGGATGAGGAGACCTTTTCCACACTGATGAGCTTCCTCTGGAAATGAGAAAGACAGAGGAAAGTAAGATTTTTGCACGTTTGTAAATTAGAAAAACCTCAGCGCAACTAAGAGTAACTAGATGTGAAATGTCCCTTCAATTCGATCACAAGCACTGCAGCATCTCCTCCTTCTCCCTTCCAGTCCATCTCCCTCCGGGGTTTCAGAGTTAGTGACTAGGAAACACACAGGCCAGTCTAACGCTGAAGATCTTCAGGTTCACTTGCATCTTTTCATTAGATGAGCTGCACATCAAGATGTGCTGCTGGTGCGTGCTGCCAGGGAGAGTCTACTGAGGAGATGGAGGTCCAGGACAAGGCAGCTTGGGCTCCATCTCCACCTCATACCCCTGCATCATGGGGGCATCTCAACCTCCCTGACCTTCAAAGCAGGACATGACCTCTTCAAAAACAGGAATTTTCAGATTCAGCTCCTAACAATACATCTGTTTCAAAGGCCTGTTCTTTGAGGCTTTTACAAAGCTACTTTGCTGTGGTGTCTCTACAGAAACTGGAGCTGTTTGTAACTTGGCAAGACTTCAGCTTTAAGAGACCTCAAATTCTGATTCCTCATCTGCTGCAGATCAAGCTCTGTGTGATCTGAGTCACCTTCAGCACTGTGAAAAGGACATTCGGCATCCCTGTCACACCCACGCTCTCCCAAGATACATCACTTAGAGGGACACAACCTGGGAAGTCTTTAGGGAGGACAGAGCTTCTGGAACCACCTGCTAATATGACATAAGAAAGAGGAGAGTCACTACCATCCCATCTTCATCTCCCACAGCTTGCTTTTTAAACAGCAGATAAAACTTCAATATGTCACACTTCAATGTACTTTTTTGTTTGTTTTAATCCACAGGAGGAGCATGAATTCAGCTTGAAAGTTTTGGCACGAATCCAACCCCACCAAGGGTATGGTCCATCGTAGCCCACATGTCCAACCTATATGTGAAAGCACACGTGAAGCCACATTCCCTCCAGTCATTTTTGCCAGTTAGTATTTCAGAAAGCTAAAACACTCTTAACGCATTTTGACACACTTCCCCAGAGAGTTCTTGATGATTTCACTTCCTATGGCTTTAGCCTTAGCTAAACCTGGGTTTGGCTGTGGTTTTTTCAAGATATATTTAAAGAAACACAGGCCGATGACTTGCTGCTTAAACATTTCCAAATCTTCTCAAATGCAATTTAAAGTTTACTCTGAGGAAGGGAAAACTTTGACTAGTTACTTCCCCAGCTGGCTAAACCTGCTATGGAGAAGGTCTCCCAACGGAGAAATATTTGTTTATTAAAAACAAAGACTGATCCTCAAGCTGTAATTATTATAAAGTAAAATCGGTTTTGAAACACCTTCTAGATCTTTTCAGAGCAAGGCTGCTTTCTCTGCCCTTGGTAAAGCCATAAGCCAAACACTATCTTTTAGTGGTTTTGAGAGCTCTAATCCTGCAGTCTGTAGGGATGCTGGCACAGAAATCTCCTCACACCCCCAAGGCCCCAACGGAGCTTTGCAGTTTCTTGATGTAAGCTCAGCCTATTGCATCTTGCCATCTCATAGAATTTAAAGTTTAAGGTTTTATTGGATTTCTTGACCCAGCTTTTCTTCCTAAAGGATAAAAGAAAGGTTCTCTCGCTGCTGCCCTCTGACAGGGCTCTCACCAGTGTGCCCAGGTGGACAAGAAGGCCACCAGCGTTCTGGCCTGTATCAGGAATAGTGTGGTAAGTAGGACTAGGGGAGTGACTCTCCCAATGCCCAGTGGAGATGTAGAGAAAAGGAGACCCCTTCTTGCTCTCTACAACTCCCTGAAAGGAGAGTGTAGCCAGGGTGGTGTGGGATCAGTCTCTTCTCCCAAGGAACAGGCAATGAGACAAGGAAACGGCCTCAAGTTGCATCAGGGGAGGTTTAGGATGGATATTAGGAAAAGTTTCTTCACTGAAAAGGTTGTGAAACATTAGAACAGGCTGCCCAGGGAAGTGGTGGAGTCTCCATCCCTGGAGGTATATAAAAGCTGGGCAGACAAGGTGCTGAAGGACATGGGTTAGTGGTGGTTTGGGTAGCGTTGGGTTGATGGTTGGACTTGATCTGACAGGTCGCTTCAAGCCTCAACAGTTCTATGATTCTATGGTTCTATTCACTCTGCTGCAAAAGCTGTGTCCACAGGGACATACAGAGGGGCAAAGAAAGGTCCCCAAAAGCTTTTGTTATCAACCACATGCTGATGTCCTCACTGACCAGCCCTGCTTGAAGAGGTGATCTGGCTTTGGCCTAGATGACTAAACAGAGCTGTACACACCCCTAAACCCAGCTGAGGGTTGTGCAGTGTGGATCACAGTGAGGTTCAGAGCAACATTGTTGGGTCATTCCTTCAGCAACCTCTCCAACAAGCTGCCTGGCTGTGGTGAGCTCTCTCCCACAGCCTACAGGGTTTAGAGGCTTATTAATAAAACTTTTCATCACAATCTACTCATCCACACATACACGCTGAAGTTATAAACATAATGGTAGAACAAGCGAGGTAGGAAAGTTGGTCAGTTTTCTCAGGAAATTAAGTTAGGGAGGACTAAGCCCTCACTAAGAACAGTTACTGTGAAAGATGGGCTAGAAGCCACTGTGGAAATGCAAAATTCCAAAGGAATGCAAAGGACTCAAGAAGAGGGGGTGACAAAAGTCTCAGTTTTCCAGGGTTCCCTAAATTCAGAAGCCTGGAGGCAGGCATCACTATCAATAGATAAAAACCGTACCCCCAGGCTACTTAAGTAGATGTGCCAGAGATGAGGAGGAGTAGAAACATGAGGTGCTCAGCATTTCTGACAACCTAAACAAAATTAATATGACCTAACACAGTCTCCAGGGCAGTTCACGAAGCATGACATTCACTACAGATTCTTTTAACAGGTGAAAACAAAACCAAAACAGGAGCATTTCTAGCCAAGGGTAATTACCAATGAACTCAAAAGCCTCTTCAAAATACTGCCTGAGATTCTGCTTGTTGCTGTCGGTGGCTGGGAGCCTCTTGTAGTTGAACAAGCCTTTCTCGTAATGGTAGAGGGGCAGGTGGGTGGTCACGTTGATGACGTAGCCGATGTTCATCCTCTGCATTTTCTCCAAGTCCTGAGCATCGTGCTCGTTTCCAAGGAAGAGGAAGGGCAGGATGGGGGTGAGCTCAGCGTTCTCTATGTCTGGCGTGGTGGGGATGGACTGAGGTAGCGTGGGGGGCACGGCGGACGCGCCGCCCCCTCCTCCCCCCTCCGGGCACTCTTGCAGCTGGAGGGAGTTATCGCAGAGGTTTTCGTGGTTCTGCTTGAAACCGCTGAGTCCTCCTGGGAAGAGAGACCGAGCAGATGATTGCGTTAGACATTCTGGGCTCAGCAACACTTTGGACACCCCTTTCTTCGGAACACGTGCTGAGGCCACCAGGGCTGGAGCTGGCTCTGTTGTTCCCACCACCGTCGGGGTGACAGTGACTGGGGATGGCTGCCAACACCAAGGATGGCATGGCTCAGGAGCATGTATTGTCCACCCCTCCATGAGGCCTACAAGCCTGCCTCTGTGCAACACAGGGGCTGCCTCACCTACAAGCCCGTGGGAGGGGGGAAAATACAAAAGGCACTTTTCCAAGAAGGATAACATCTCCAAAACTATAAGCAGACAGGCAAGCAGCATACCAGAGCAGGGTGGTGAGCCAGCTGGGACAGTCTTTTCTTCTGTCCACAGCAGGGCATCCCCCCACCCAACACCCCCAAGGACGGGCAGGGGGGCACAGCTCCTGCCAGCACCATTCTGGGGAAGGGTACGCACGTCTTTGTGCGGCCAAAGGAAAGAAAACTCGTAGCCCAACAGCAACTGAGGTGCTCGCTTAACATGTGGCAAACAGCTCTCCTTTTTCTGCCCTGGTTGCCTGAAAATATCTAGTAAGAGTTATTTTTAGGACGTTAATATGGATTGGGAAACGGATTCAAGGGGGGAGGGAGAAGTTACTTTTTTGGCTCGTGCCTCCCCTGGCTCTACCGCACGTCTCGCTGGCTTTGTCAAGCAGCATTTTTCCCCTTTTTTTAATTTTTTTTCTTTTTCTTTTTTCCCCCTCCAGGAGAGCAGCTCCACAGAAGTGGAGCGAGAAAAGCAGACCTTCTTTCTACACCTCCTTGGGCAATGACATCAGCCCCGGGCTCCCCACCTGCCCGGTCTCCATAGCGATGGCACAAAGCACACAATGACATCAGCCGGCATGACATCAGCTCTTTGAGCGCAAACAATACAAGAACAACTACTTTGTGTAAGGCCTTTGGCTGATGTAATGCAAACAGGTGGCTCCCCCGAAAAGAAAAAGGCGGAAAGAGGAGAAATGCAAAGATATATTTCCCCCCCCCCCAGCCTCGCCCTCAAAAGCCCACGTTCGTGTGGTAGCGGGATACTCGGAGTCACACACCGCATCCAGACGGGGCAAGTCCTCAGACTCAATTGCACTTTGTTAAAGGCAAGCCAAAAAGACAAAAAAAAAAAAAAAAGAGCCAACCCAGGAGGGGGGAGAGCGATGCTGAAGTTACTAGAAAGAGCTAAGCTCGCCAAAATAAATTCTGAGTGTCACCACCCCAGTAATGCTATTTAAAAAAGAAAAAAAAAAAAGGAGGCTATTTGTCTTTTCTATGCTCTTTCCCAGTGATCTAGCGAAGGAAGATTTTAAAGCAGAGCAAAACACGCTGTCTCACAGGCTCTGGATCTGACACAGCAAAGAGCTTCAATGCCCACGTCTTGAGTGCTGCAGCTCCAAACCTCCCCACGCCTGCCCATGAGGTGGCACCCACCCAGGGACCATCTCCATGTTCTGTGCAATGACCACGAGGTGCCTAGACCAGGCCACAGCCACCTGAGCCCTTCTAATACAAGTGCCCTTTTTAATGTCCAGGCTTCTGTCCTTCACATGCTGCTGGTCACTCATTTCCCCAGGAATCCTTGAATTGCCCACAAAACGCAGAGTATTTCCCCCACCTCAAAAGCAGGCTCATCTTCAGCTGTTTACAGGACACAGAGCTAACAGATCTGCCTTAAAGATCTCTACTCACAAAGCTGTTGTAACAGGGGAGCAGGACAGAAGGAAGAAAGAGGACAAAAAACCAAGCTCACTGCTGGTCTTGACAGGGTCTGAAAAGTCTTCTCAGACCACGCAAGATGACAAACAAGACTATGGCCCCCAAGCTGAAGATGTCTGAAGCCTCATCCAACCCGACAGTCCCAGCCTAGAGCCTGGGATAAGCCCTACCCCACACTCCCATCCTTCTGCACAGGCAAGCAACCCATTCTGCTTAAACATTGCCACTTAAGCAATAACCAGAGCATGCTGAGATTCCCAAAAAAAACTCTGAAATATAAGCTGCTTCACTGACTCCAGAGCCAACGCTCATCTTCCACCTCTCCTGCCGCCTTCTGGTTGATGCAGGAGTCCATCACTTCATCCCTCAGCTGAGGACACACTGATGGTGTGGCAGACACCGTCCTGCTTCACCAGCTGCCTTGTAAGACCCAGCAGAGCTGGAGAGCCCAGAGCAAGCTTTCCTCACCACCCACATCTATGGTCTCCTTCTGGGGCCTCCGCTCGCTCTGTTGGCCAGAAGACATTATCACTCGTTACCAACTCTTCCTCAGTGCTATGTTCACTTGGATCCAGCAAATGAGAACAGGGAAGAGAGAAGAGACCATGCCCTGCTGAGAGCGAGAGGTACAGGGCAATCCCCACCACTGCAGCAGGAGCATCAGGCCAAAGGATGGCAAAGCCATCCCAAATATGCCATGTGGAAGATGCCCAAACAAGTGGAGTAGCCAAACATACAACAGCCTTACCCACAACTTCCTTCCCAACATCCACCAGTAGAGAGGTCACCTTTCCTAGTGTCAGTCAGTCCACATCCCCCTCTCCTTGTTCTCCTCCCTCAAGTGGCTTGGGAGTTAAAATCCATTCAAGCAATATTTAAAGCACCATATCCAGGCACTCTCAAAGATCCCTGAAACAATACATTGCTGGGGAGAGGATTAATAAGCTGAACTGGCTCAGACACGTGAGCAAGGGAGAACTCCACAAGAACACTGGTCCCCAGAAAGGATGCAGTGAGATGCAGTCACAGAGGGGAGCTGAACTCCAAAAATCAGCAGCAGGAGTTTAGCTTGGATCTGCACTGCCACGTGCATCCCACGGGTCCCAAAACAGGATCCAGGCACCTCATGAGCATTGTTTCTTTAATCCACTCCCTACACACCATCCTTGTTGATTTATGAGGCACCAGGGTAACTTCAGTGGAGCTCACACATGCACAACGCCCAAGCTTTTCAAAAGTTTACGAGACTACTTCCCAAAAGGTTAGACCAGTCAAAAGAGTCAAACTCCAGATCACAAGGAAACTCAAGGCACAAATGCAGACACTCCACTCGTGGCTGTAACAGAAGCTGTTTGTGACTGAAGTCGCTCAAGCCTTCCCAAGCCTGGAACACAGAAACAGCGTTATGGAGGGCACTACCAGGGAGCCTGGGGAGAAGCAAAACCTGGCATAAACCTCATTGGCACAAGAGTAAGCCATATTTTAAAAGCAACTTTTCAGCTGCTATTTCCAATATGCAAAAAGCCTTCATCACATATAGGCAGCCTAAGCAGAGAGGCAATATAATATATCCAAGCAGGAAAGACCACCAGCATGCACAGCTCTGCGGTTTGAAGTCCAGACTCAGCTGTGTAACCGCCTTCAACACCACACCAAAACGCCAGCAGGCAGATAAGCCACCAGTGTTCATTTGTAAAGAACATGATGTTTGTGACCTGTCTTTTCTAGCTTTAAACACACCACGGAGCTTTAATAACCAAAGCACAGCAAAAAGCCGTTTTGACACAGCCCATGCATGGATGTGGAAGGTATCTCAAGGGGCTTTTGTGCACCCTCTGCTCCAAAAGGGTTAATGAGCAGACCTTTGCAGGGGCTGAACCTATCTAAATGCAGGTGAAGAAGGGTATGCAGGAATGCCCAGGAAACCCACCATATTTCTTCCATAAGGAAAGGAATCACTGAAGCAGTACCCTTCATGGTAGATGGCCCTGCCTGCTACCTAGTGAAAGACAGAGGACTGAGGGCTCTTGGTCACCACTGATGTGAGGAGTCAGAAATGTCTGCAGTTATCACGGCATGAGATACCCCACCATCCTGCCCTGCCAGGACAGTTAGTGAGCAACAACAGACTTTGGATTGCCCAGGACCTCAAAACTTTTAGAAGTTTCAAGTCAGCACTGTACAAGCTCCAGCTACTCATACTCATTTGTCCAAGTTCTCCACAGCCATTTGCCCATAAATATCTCACGTAAAGCTTCTCAAACAACCTGCTGAGGCCAAGCAGCACGCAGGAGCAGCTGCACACACATCTCCTGGCTCTGAAGCCACCCGGGAACCCGGGGCTCACACCAGGGCTACAAGGCCAGGTGAGAGCAGCTGGGCAGGAGGCAGAGCTACTCTGAACAAATAAAATAAAATAATAAAAATAATAAAAAAGACAAGTAGCACGGTGAAATATGGCATCTGTCATTTGCCATCAGGAGAGGGCAAATACGATGCAAAACAGGCACAGGAGGTATGGCAGGAACCAGGCAACCAGCTTTTACAAGGGACCATGACCTTGCAATAGAAACAATCTTCAAAGAAAGCAAGACAAATAAACCTCACCTGCACATATTTTATACAAGGTGGGTTTTTTTTATTTAAGATAAAATTAAGAATTAAAGCACAAGGAGTGCAGTAACACCTGCCTGCCTTCTCTGTGTCACCTCTGGCACCTCTTTCACCCATCCCTGCTGCTCCATGGCTGTGAGACAAGATACAAACTGGGATGTGGGTTTACAACATGCTTTGGTAGATATGCAATACGTTCCCTGTCTGGAAACTGACTCTTACCCCACAGCAATGAGAGTAAGTGCCCTTGTTCCCTCTATAGCGAGGGAGCTTATAGAGAGGCAGTTGCCACGAAACACCCTCACCATAAAGCAATACCTTTGCATTACCTCATGGCTATGGCCATGCTTTGTTCTGAGCGAGGCAGGTACTGGGTGTTCCCGCGACCATTACAAACAGGAACATATTTTTATACATGACAGACTGCAGATGCAGGATCCACATTTAGACAGAACACGTGGTCCTGAGAGACAAACAGACCTTTTATAAAGCTTTCAAAGCTGTCCAGGCGGATTTCTGGATCTGCTCATCCTCGATTACAATACCACAAAGCCATCTCAAAAAAAAAAAAAAACAAAAATCAAAACCACACACATGAGCATATGCAACAGGAGCAGGAA